GAGCTGACATGTAATCAATAGGGTTTTAAAAGGCTTTGCCTATTATCCTTATCAAATAAACTAAATAAACTAATGCGTCTCTTGGTGATTGTCACAGATGTCTTTGGACTAACTACTCAAGGACAATTGATCATGCGATATTACGGCACGCAGGGCCTCTTGATTTAGTGCCCCTATGAGTCTCACAGTCGGAAACTGATAAGTCGGCGACAGCTCTAAACCCATGTTTCGACCAATGTCAGCTTAGGCGAGTACAGCGGCAGGTGTTGCATTTGTCTCGACCCTGTTAGTTTATTCGATAGCAAAGGTGCCTTAGCCAAGGTTTCGTTTTTGTGTCTGATCGATTCCAGAGCTGGTTTCCCCACCAAATATTCTACACCTAAGTTAGGTACAGGGATATCCATCAACGACGCCTCCGCACGCTTACGGACGTGGTACGGCACACGATGGTTCAGTCAACTTCTAACCAGAGATGCGAGGTCTTACTTTCGGGCATTCCTTCCTGGCAGGATCGTGTTTTGGTTACTGATTTATTTACAAAGTCACGATGTTGCCGTGAGTTTGATGAGCACTTTACGCGTACCGTTGTTAAAATTTGCTTCCGACAAACCATAGGTCTCGGCACACACACAGACACGCTTTCCACATCTGCTGCAGATTCTAGCGTTAGTGATCACCGACCGGCCTATTCGAATACCAGCAGCTTTATAATGTACAAGGACTGCCGGGGGAATTTAGAGATGCATACGAGTCGAATTACACCTCGACAAGAAAAACGCGAGTAACCAAACACTTCATTTACAACGGAAACGCGAGATCCATCGAGGTACCTCCAAGAAATCTTCTACCATTTTATCAGAAGAAATTAGGTGCCCCAATAAGTACAAGAGGAGGAGATGCGCTGATTGGAACACGAAGTCTACTGGTCTGACTGTTCGGATTGTCATTGGAATCCGTCGTCATAGATGGTTGCGGATAAGAGTGATGAAGACAGAAGGGGTATTACATGTGTAAAACGTAATTGCCATGCGGCCAAGTGCCTGCATTCAGAAAATTCCCACAATTTTGGGCGTTAAATCCATCAAATCAGTCTTTCGTAGTTATGGAGTTTTTGGTCTCTGATCCCTCTGCCCGGTCTCATTTCGTGAGAAGTTATGGTGACTCCGAAACCCGCAACACAACGGGTGATTTCTTCAGCTGACAGAGAGCAACAGTTCATCAATGCACCCTGTATAGTGCAGTCCCAACTCCACGAAGAGGAATGGGAACTAAGAACATTCGATGAGTATTGGTCATTCCCCTTCTAGACTAATGTCATTTCACGGGCTGCACTTTATTTCTCCTGAGATACCGCCTACATTTACACCTCGGCAGTTTTTTTCGTCGCTAGATTCGTCCGTTACGCACCTTATTTGAAAATTCCTTAAAACTATATCAAAAAGAATTGTTGAGATGGCTATTATTAATGCTATTATTGCTGTTATTACCATCTTCTGCGTTCATTGTTTTAAGCAGAATATAGTGTAGTTATTATTCGTAAGTCCGCACCCGGGTCGCCATTTGCCGTAATTACTTTGCGTTATTGCGGCTGGGAATGTCCAAACATGCAGTAGCGGTAGGGTGGAATGACACCAGCTCTCAGGTCGCGGCTCATCCGACCAACCCGGTCATACCTACAGGCATGATGCGGTGGAACTTCTCGCATGAGTCGCGAGCTGTTCGACTCGTGGTTAACTGGCCCACAATCGGTGAACAAGCGCAATCAACTCCCTCCATATTCTAAACCGAGCTTTTGCCTGGACAGAGTAATTATTCACGCAAGGAGTGAGCGGGGGACAAACAGTTCCATTTACAGTGGGTCAGATGCCCGAGGTGTTATAAAGCCAAGAATCGACAGCGCTGATGGAATAACGGTCATTAACGACTGGGATGCGGTCATGATATCAAAAACAACCCCTGGAGATGAATGTGAGAGCTAATAGGGTAACCAAACAACAGTATCCTATTCGTACTTTGCTCTATGAGCCTCGGTTACCCTTATCTGCGACTGTGTCTGATGATGAGTTAGAGTGAGAATCCGAAACATCGAAACAGTAAGATTATGTAAAATGTGGTTCCATGTCCCTCTTCCGGATTGCTTCCTGATACTGGCCTCATCGCTTCTATTACCCTCACTATCGATATACTTGATCGCTCTTTTAACCAAACGATCCTTCTAGTGTGGTCTTCTCTGGTAAATCTTGAACTTGGGAATGACTACTGGAAAATGAACGCGGTACCAAAAGGCACTCCTTCCCGTTAACTCGGATTTTCACAAATCTGGACATACTGACTGGCAGCACTGCCTTTTCAACTTTCGATCGAGTCTCGAGCCGTCGGCAGCTATTTGTGGTGTCCACTGATTATTAGGAGTTCGGCATAATGCCACCTGGATTACCAAACGCCTGTCACACTTCATAGAGTTCAGTGAAACATATTGTTGCACATGTGCCAGTATACTTTCGCAAATCCGAGGTCATCCATTTACCTAATTTGCTGATGATCTACCTAACTAACTTTGCAAGTTGAGTGCTTGTCTTTCACATAATCCAGCAACGTGAAGGCGATTGACAATCTTGGCTTTATTGATTGGCTGCGGCCGGGTAGGAGTCAGATGCTTACTCGCACTTCACAATTTTTGCATTCAGAAAAGCTTACACAAATTTTGGGTGCTAAATCCACCGAACGACTCTACTGAAGCGATGGCGTTTGTGGTTTCTGACCACCATGACCGGTCTCACCAGGGGCAGTTTCTTTGCCAACAGCGACAGCTGTTCTTCGGCGCTTCTGTTCGGACTAGTCCCAACTTCATGAAAGGAATTGGCGACTGATAATATCCGATGCCGTGAAACCCCTCCATTCTTTACGGTCGACAGTTTGCGGTCAGCAGTTTTTTTCTCCGGAACCCTCCAAACCATAAAAACCACCGTCAACTTTATTTGTATTGCCCTTTCGACAGGAGTTTTTTTCACTGCTGGCCGGATTTGTGTTTAACGCTTCCGTGACAATGTCTGTAAACGGGCATTAAATAAAATTCTTATTATTAATAAGACAGACTACGAAAGGTGCGATCGGGTCTATGCAATTTCCAGAAAACCAGCAAACGGAAATTAAAGGACAGCCACATTGAATAATGTACAATTAACTTAACCTCTGGTTGAAATCAAAGTTTTACAAAAGATGAAATACTTGTAACTCCAAAACTGCCAAACAAAAACGTAAGCTCCCATACTGTAAATCTCATTCTTTTTTCTAACTTTTTTCTGTTATTATGCCTTGGAATTCATGCGTTTTTCGACTTAAAACAAACTCATAACCCGCACTCTATTGACTCACAAAATACCCAGAAGAAATGTAGACAAGGTGCAGCCGAATTCGACGTGGTTGGTCATACTTATTTTCTGTGTTCTAAGGAGATTGACCTCGCTCAAGTGGTGCTATAATAAACCGATGCCATTGTTTTCCGACAACCAACTCTAAATCTGGTTGAAAATTTTCTGCTAACAGTCTTCTAAACTGCTTATACGATCTCTGTTGCAATGGAGGACATCCTAATAGTCTCACTTCCTTAATTTTAAACCCGGACATTCGTCATTGTCGATCATCGCACATTGATGTCTGCATTGGGATAGACTCTGAAAAACGGCAGCAGGCTCTCAGTTGAGTTGCCTACCAAAGTATTTGCGCATTTTTAAGTGATCACTTGCATCCCCCAGGAATTATCTTCATCCCAAATGACAAAAGTCCCGCACAGAATGCGTGTCTGCACAAGTATGCGGCGAAAGGTGGATTTACTGCACTCTGAGCTTTCACTTGCCCGTGTCTTCCACGGAAGGACGACTGTTTATAGCAGTACATTCATGCTGGATGCAGTCCTTAGGTTTCTGAATGTGAGGTCTTTGGAGCTATTCAACTGCTTTTAAAAGCACCACCATTCCTGATGCTACTGCGCTATTAAAATCGAAAAATCTCCTAATGAACAACAGACGTCGGTCGACTGCCGTGTTGGTACTGTAGCAACTGGTACCAAACTACCAGTCAGATCGGAGTTGTTGCTATTATCAGGGTTCAGTTTGATAGCCAGTACTCGAAATTGGTGCCCCTTACTATTTGATTAGTTCAGTTTGAAAAATAGGCAACACCGAAAGTTCCCCTACTGGAAGCCTCTTTAAAGATGGTTGCATGCTTTTTAACAGCATAGCATTAGTCTTTAAATATTCAGAATTATTTACACCATATTGTGCTAAGTGATTCTACATTTGGACTCGCGATATTCTTGCGTCAGATGCTAAACGAGGACGACGACTTCTATAGCATTAGTACTTAAACATTCCGAGTTACTTACAACATAGTGGGCAACGGTATAGAGAAGGACCCCGCTTAACTGTCGGTAGACTGCGGATCGTGTCATATGGGGTTTTGTCTTGGCATACATTTGCAGGCTGTTGCAGAAATCGTACTGCCAACAACGATTACTTCCCATGACCTTACACCTTAACTCAAAATGCGTTATCTTGTGAACTTTACTTTTTGTTTATTGTTAAATTACCACTCTCATTCCCGTTGTCGTACAGTAGGGTAGGACAAGACTTTCTGCACAAAGTCAGGCAATTTTTTGTGTTTTCTTTCATTTTGTCAGCTAACTGTCCATAAAACTCCCTTTACCATAAATCACGTATAGCACGATCCACAGAGCCCTCTATATACGGTCCCTCTCTATACCGTTGTCCCACATTGTGCTAAGTGATTCTACAGCTGAACTGGCGATATTCTTGTGTTAGATGCTAAGCGACGACGACTTCAACCGCTTCTTCCTAGGCGTTGTAGCAAGGGACCGACTGGTTGCTAATTCAGGAGTTAATAATGTAGGAACACAGATAAAGGATAGAAAAATCATGGATTGACATAAAGGGCAAGGGGGGAGGTGTTGGCCAGAATAGGTGCACATCCTGCGACATAAATCAGCTAACATCAAATGGCAGAACTTCGCCGCCGTCTTCCTCATCCACCTTTTTGGCCTCTTCCACGTCCGATTTGCCGACTCTAGCCGGGCGCATTCCACCGAGAAGCTTGAAATAGAGCGAGAGGACACAAGCCTTTTAGGTTTGCATTAGCCAAACAAAACATAAAAGATGAAAAGATCTGGGCGATTAAAGCATTAATTGCCGATATCCGAGACATAGATTCAGGCACAATATCTACTTCAAAAATGTGGAATTAGTGTTTTGTTTTCCAAGGAGACCTTAAACGGAAACCTGGGTGCCACAGAAATTGGGAGTACTTTCGCAACTACGAATTCCCTTAGTCCGAGACGTTTTAGGTCTCGTGATTCTCGAAATCCCACCGAGGCGATTTTTATTTGTGGCTTTTTCTGTCTTCCTCCGGTTCCCTTGCGGACATGTGAAGAAATTCAGAAAAACCTCAGTAGCTAGCAGCTCTCCCTGGCACATAAGATTTTCTTCTCCACTGGCAACCTGCCGTTAACTGCAGTGCAAAAATTCACATTGCAAAAAAGCGCTAAAATTTCTAAAATAGAAGTCCTTCACTTTAAGGTCTTTTTACCTGTCTGTCCTCTCTTTTAACGCACTTATATCCGACTTTCAGAGCGTTGTGGGCTCGATTCACGGAAGAATCAGAAAAGGGTGGTTAACAGAGGTCTAACTCTGTGTACTGCTTCCTTTATGAGCCCACTTACTGGTGTTCTGTAAGTCACACACAACTAAGCTGACAAGTAACACGATCTCAATGTGCCCTTTCTCGGTCGTTTGCTCCTGCCCAAAATGACACACGAACACCTGCAGATGCTACAAGAAAAAGGTGAATCTAAGATAACTAACAAGTTAGTCTATGTCTGCTGCAATGGTTCGACTATCGGTTTTGAGAATGTCAACTGTGTGCACTATAGCGGGAGGAGAATGTTGACGGTGACTTGCGCGTGAATTAATTTCCGGCGATAGTAGACTGCGCAGCATATACCGCACGATCTCCTCCTCCGCCTCCTCCTCACCACCTGAGTCCTGTGTCAAGACACAGTCAAAAAGACCGGAGGCGGAAGAGGGCGCGGGAAGCTGGCCGGAGCCGCCCCTAGACGTCCCGCCACACCCGGCTCGGATCCCAGTAAGTGTGAGTGCCATAACGGTCACATCAAAAAAGAGCCATTGCGGCATGACTCTCAGTTCACCAGTCAGGCACCATCCATAAACACACACACGACTGGGTCGAGTGGGCGGTCTTAGTTGAAGCATCAGTCAGCAGCCTTCCAAACCAAACAGCAGAGGAGTCAGATGGGCAAGGAGCCAAAAAACACATTTCCCACTGGTGTGGAGAGGTATCCATTATATGCTTGCGTTGCGAAATGATGGATGATGTGAAAGTACGTTGTAGATGCTGGTGAGGAAGGAGGTGACGGAATGGTATAGCCGGCGGTGTTTTCCGACAGGTTTTCATGAATGCGCATGTGACCGGATAGGCCCATGCGGTGGCTGAACGTGCGAGGGCAGTTGAGGCGACGGAGTCTATTGTATGTTGGTGTTTCGGGCACTGGTTCTCCAGTCTCTGGCGATGCCCTGAAGGACGCGTCCCTGTCATAAGGTAGGGTTAAACTGGAATGCAGGAGGCCATAGCCCAATTCGAAGGGTCGTCTGTCTTTCATTTTTAACAGTGCTAATCGACCATATTGCCAGTTTTTACTGCAGAGGGAGTGTGGATATGTTCTCAGTGTAGATCACCGTTTAGAAGCAGTTTTACAAGCAAACTAATTCTCTCTATCTGTTTTCGGAAGACTGTCGTAGACGCGCTCGAAGACGGGATTCTCAACAGAGGATCCTGCTTATCCTACTTTTCCGAAAGCAAGTAGTAGAAAGCAATCTATGTATCCGGTCATTTCTGCTGGATGATCTACGCAATAAGCCTTCTTGTGCTATCTGCACACCAAAGTTTTGGGGTATTGTTAATAAATCGTGCCGAAAAACGAAAAACGATCGACCCCTTGGGCTGGGCCTTGATCTCATCCATCCCAGTTTGACTGAACCCTTCGGATTAGTCATATGTTAGCAGGATGACTACCTACGTAATATCGACCGTCATGTAAACGATAACGAAGGCTTTCAGGTGGTTTTCAGTGCCGCGTCAATACTTGTCAGCACGGCGGGAGCGATATAAATCTGACTGCATAAACTGCTCCCGACAAAAGTAAGCGGATTGGCGTTGCCGACAAAGACAAGGGTGATTGGTGAAGCCATTTCTGGCTCATAAACCGTCCTCAGCCAGTTGTACCCAACCCCAATGTATGGACCACCTGGGGCTCGACCTGCTAGTTAGAAGTCCACGGGCTCGTTGTCCTGTTGGTTGCGATCAGGAATACACAATGATAGAGGGGGAGGCACTCACCGATCTTTTTACGGAAATCAGTCGTACCGTTGTGCCTCTCTCGGGCCCAACCAGCGGCTTCACAGCGACGCAGGATATAGGCAGAGTGAGGTCTGTAAAAACGATCGGTGAGCGCCCCCTTCTACCAATGTATATTCCCGATCGCAACCGACAGGACAACTAGCCCGTGGGCCAGTGATTAGAGGCGTTGAACATCCAACCAACAGGTCGCGAGATCGAGCGCCAGCTATTCTACACTTCGGAGTTGGATATGACTGACTGACGACGGCTAATAAGCCAGAAATGGCCATTCGAGTCCTTCCGTCTTTTTCGGTAATGCTATTTTGCCTCTATCATGCGCCATGATGTGGCTGCTGGGTGGTCTCAAGAGAGAGCCCGTAAGGTACCAACACCAGGGCAATTTACCACCCTTATCTGAATATGTCACTGATGATGGATTTGAGTGAGAATCAGGCTACTAGAGCACTTGTTCCAGCGATCATGTCTCCTTCTCCGCGACCACTTTCTGGGACTTACGCCTTCGTTTCTGTAAGTTTAAACATAAATAATATAAGCAAAAATAGCTACTTAAAACATTAACAGTAGACAGGGTTACATCGGATCTAACTACTTACTGCTTTGGCTAGGCAGCGCCGGAAGACTGGGACCCCGAAGACTTCCCCCTTGGGTTGGGGTGGCGGTGCGCAGAACGTGTCAACCACAACTGAATTTAGCGGTGTAGGAGCCAAGTGAAGGCATTGGTCTTTTTCCAGCGACATCGTCTCCGGAGTGGCCGGTTCGGAGAAACGCGGAGCGCGCCAACCCCCGTGATTGCCTTCCTCGTCATCCTCGCAACTGTGCACATCCTCATGGGCAATCTTCCCATGAATGCTGACCGGCTGCGACTCATGAAGGGGTTGGGCCGCCATCGGATCCGTCTGATGGGTGCTCATTTTCTCTAAAACATGGCATTTTCATTACCATCTCTACCGGCGTCAATGCTTATCTTTTGCGATTACTAAGGCGGGAAACTGTTTTGATTAAAAAATATAGATAAATTAATGGCCGGCCTGTTTTATCCCAAAACCCAACAGAATGATTTGATCTTGTAAAAAGCGTTTTTCGAAATAAACAGATCACAAGCAAATTTCATATAACGCTGATGGAAAGCCGTGCACTTCACTCTGAGCCAAACGTAACACCTCAGACGGAATAAAAAACCTCGTGCACCCAAACAAATGCGGACAATTTGTAACACAAGGGCATCGAAATTTCATTAAATAATAGTGCTGACGATCAGACGTCGGCTGACAAGTGTGTCTACACATTTTTAAGGCTCACAGATACATCCCCAGAAGACATCCCCGAAAGAAGTAATTCCGTATTCCTTAAACACTTATATTCGCTCAGATTTTCATCAAAAATAGCAACTGTTGATTGATAGATAATCTGGTGTCTGCCAGAAATTTCGGAAAATACTCATACTGAATGACGCTCTGTTGAAAGTGCTGCTAGAAGACGAATAAGGGCAACAGGACTTTCTTTTGAACGATTCGCCATACTGGCAACATGTGTCTAGGCTTTTAGCCTATGCAGCACTTACCCAGACAGTATCGGCCGTTAGTGTTTACCATGCCAACGACGGCTACATCGGGTTCCACAGTACCAGTCGCTCTCAGGCCGGACAAACAATAGCAGGCTTATCTCATGAAATTCTAACCAAACGCAACTCTCTCAATGTACCATTCCTCCCCGGAAAATAACCGCTACCAAACTAACTACTCACAATGCTGCAGTAAAAATAGTTTTGTGTACGTTTCATCAAATGCCCCGAGAGAAGACAGTGTGCCGTCCTGATAGTTGTTTAGTTGTTTATTGATATACTACGTAAATTGTTTCAGCAATACGTTTTTGACGAGTCCACTGTTTCTGCCCCGCGACTCATCCATTGTCGCATATTTAGTCTTTGATAACGTCTTACCTGTTCCTGTCTTCTTCCATAGCCCAGTGCGCTGACTGCACAAAAAAGGAGCTCAGATACCTATGCCCATGTTTCCCCCACAAAACTGAATTGATTTGAAGGGATTACTTCTATGAGGTTGAAATAATGATCGCAATACAGATAATACCAGAGTATCGCAGCTACGTCAGGAGGCCGGCTTTTGAATAAGCGTGTCCCTGGCAGACTGCATAAACCATCCTCGATAAAAAATGATTATTAAGGCACGGAGTTAAGTATATTTAATAGAAACAATGCACAAAAATATCACTTTTTGTCTCTTGTGGTAGTGAGTTTTTTGAATATTTTATTCGAATAAAGGGTGGCATCCTGTTAACTAACGTTCGTAGAAATAAGACTTATGAAGGTCTGAAATATCCACTCAAATAGCATCGCATCCGTACGTTTACAAATGTTCCGTGTAAGTACGCAGCCTGGACCATTGCGTAATATTGCGACAAAGAAATTTATGAATTCCCTAATAGGGCAAGTATACCGTTTTTAGTTCGGAAACCCTAAGCGCACTCGTTGGAAGGGTTCAGATTATTCAGAAATTGAAACTCCTCAAACCGATAGCTACCCCTTATTTCAGTGAAAAATATTGAAGAAGACACCATGTACTACCAGATTACTAATAGAAGAAAACTCTTTTTGCATGTTTTCTGCAAAATACATTCCAGTTTATAAGCACCTCGAGAATCAGCATCAATAATTCGTACTGGCTAAGTTGGCATTTAGTAGAAAGTGTGGGTTTTGCGGTTGGTTGTAAGGGCGTGCATCCAGAAGTGGGCGTTTTGGCATGATGGAACTGCCCCGGGATTAATCGGCATTGCGCAGGAAAAGGGTGGTCGATCGCAGGAACGGTCCGTTCATTGTTCCGAACTTTCGAACTCGTGCAGGGGTCCATTGTTAGATATAATGGCAGCAACAGAACAAGCCACAGTTATGAGGCGTGTAAGCCAATCATCGACGGACGGCTCTAGGCTGGAGGTGACTGCGCAGGGCTCCGTACGCTGGCGCCAGATCGATTGTCACCATGTCCAACTAACCTTTTGTAATCATGACCATACTTCTGAATTCCTGCTAGGACAACCCGTCAACATATCTGAACACCCCAGCGTCATCCATCTGGTCCCAATGACTTCCACCTGGTTGGAGTCCAGGTGAACATAAACGCGGTCGATTTCAATTCGAAGAGGATGTGTCGAGGCGCCAAACTAACTGACCTTTAACAGTCTGCTCATTCCTAATAACTACACCGTTCGTTTTAAAACAACCAGAAACAGCGCTGAATGAGAGAGGCATCACATGTGTGCTTGGAGATCAAGTGTGTGGATCCCTGGGTATAAATTTCGTCTACCCGTTGGCTTTTCCTACCGTCTTTTTTTAGTCAGGCTAATGTATATGGCTAGGACTGGTGTTATATAGGTTGCTTATTGTGAGTACAACATTTGCAATAAGGGCATCTGAACGAGGCACGTTGTCGGAAATGATGCAACATGAAATCTAGTATAATCCAATTTGGCTGTTGAAAGCGTACCGGTGGGCAACGTATAGCGCCACGAGGAGTACTTACAAGAAATAGCACATTAACCTGTTATAAACTGCGATTCTGTCTTATGGTGCTATTTTCGGCTGAATTAGGAATACGTCAGAATGCACAGCAAGGTTCTCCGGACAAAAAAGATCTTAAAAAGTTATTTTGTCCAACACATGGTTGGAAGAATTCGGTCGGCAGAATCGTCCGCCGACAATGTTTTTTTACACATGTGTGTGGAATGTTTTCTATTTTGACCAGACTTGGCGCAATCTTGGCTTAGAGGATTTCTACTAGGAAGCATTAATTAGGCAGTTCTGTCCAGGTAGGCCTTTGAAGGCGGGCTGGCCTAACGTATCCCGCCGACGGATAGCAAATTAAAACAAGGGGGAAATGCCGGAAATTTGTCATTGTCAGTGGCTCCTTCAAAAAGGCCGGTTGAAAGTAGATTAAATTAACTATCCAGTCTAAACCCCGCTTTTAAAATAGCACTGAAAATTCGGATTTTGTTAATTCTAGACTACCATAAGCCAGCAAGCAAACGGAATGAGGATTTTCTCCCGTAACTGAATAATCGCTTATAAGTAGTGAAAAATGAAATGGAATACTTAAACATAAGTCCAGTAAAGAACAACTACTTAAGAGCGACTGCGATTCTGATTATCAAACAGCATAACCCCAGGAAATTTCAGTCACGCTACGATGTTGGCTTTTGAATATGCGCCTTTCCGGCCACTGCAAAGACGATACTTGAGAAAGCTTACTTCTGAAGCAAAACATTTTCCAATGAAATCCGAAACCCTTATAAGTTCAGACACATTTTATAGAAAACACGCAGAAAATACCCCTTTTTATAAGATTTGCATGGTAAATTGCATCCAGTTCAATATTATTTTCATAAAGTCTGCGATAACGCGATTTTTAGGACTATGACGTGCTTATTTATATGGCTTCGTTGTTTCCTGTTTATTAATGTCCCCTCTGCGACATAAAAACGGTCTACATCCGTTGCAAGCTTTTATGGCTGGTGGACGATACCCTACTGACAGGAATGCGTGGGTTTTCTTAAAAATTGTACAGTACGAAGCATGGGGACTCGCAACGCAGGGCCAACGGCAGGTGGCATAAAAAATACTTGGCAACTGAAAATCATCCATCTCCTTGAGTAAAAAGTTAAAGAAGAAGAAGAAAAAAAGAAGAAGAAGATAGAGAGGCAGCTTGCCAGCAAAGAAACAAAAGCAAGCACATTTTGTACATGCTGGCCATGAGGCATGTTTGGGTTTGTTCAAACATCAAAACCACCTGGAGAATCCGCACTAATTAATAAGACATTCATTAAGTAAAATGCGTCTCGCTGCTCACACAGCAACCGCACCAGACAAATGCTGTCAAAACTATGAATCCAAAACCTCAGGCAAAAACGACTTCTGTTCCATCCGTCGACTATTTTTTCCAAAATCACAAACAAACTTTGCAACTCAATAAGAAAGGTAATAGGGTAAAGTAGGGTGTTTACTCAAAGACAAACTTCCGACTTTAGGGAAACCGACTTGGGATTTTTCTTGTACTGATATATACCGGGGCGATTCGTCGGAAGTCAACTTCCTACTTCATGAAAGAAAACAACTTGAGATCATCGCCCCGTGATTAGGTTTCGTGACATCAGTAAGGTATTTACTCCGGAAGCTAGGTTACGATCAAGCACAAATCCACCGGAGATCTGCCTCCAACTTCCGTTCGCTGTCCCAGTCACTGTTAACTCAATTACCTCCTAACTGCATGTATCCAATCTTACTTTGACTTACTTAACCGCCAAGCAACAACTGGAGTAACTTGGTCAAAGTACGCGCCATGGAATCAAGTGTCACATTTAGAAGAAGATAATGTAAGTGTAATTAAGATTAAACGGAAGTAAGGCAGCTCAACGGATCTCTAAATATTGTCCGCTAGACAATCCGATAATTTAACGTGCAGCTCTTAATCGGGATAACCTAGGGCGGCTCTCGGTAGAAAATACTCAGTCTTACAAGTAATACCTGCTCAGACATACTTTAAATTGTCGTTACACATGTCACAATCACTCGAGCCCCAACACTCCTACCATCCCCTGCAGATGTCGTAACCCAGCCTTTCTCTCTCTTATCCATATTGCACTACCTCCATGCTACATGAGGTAGGGCATGGTGAAGGACATACCAGAGCCCTGATACTGCTGTTCGTGGACCAGTTCCTGGATGACTCAGTCACGTGCTTCAGGTCGTTGTTATGTTCCAACAGCCAGGCGTAAACAACGGCCAACTTACAACCCTAAGTGTGTGTGTCCACACCCAGCAGCCTCGGATAGTCACTCTCATTCATCTTCGCATGCAGTCAGAAAGGAGTGTCAGTACCACCCTAGTCAACCCAGCCTAACACATTAGGGTCAGCTGCTATAAACTATTTCTGGCTAAGTGTTCTTCCCAGTGTAAACATGGCTGTTATTTAACCAGGCATTTCGTCTGGATCAAAGGAGATTAGCGCTGGGCAGTTAATCCTTACTCTGGGTCCGAATGTGTGTAATTATATTCTTTTTTGGATCTCCAGTCGATAGCCTTCATAGGCCATCGCATAACCACGAGCTATTAGTATTAGGTAAGGGTTACAAACAAGCGTATATGATCGGGCAATGGCTGGCAAATAATCGGGGAATAAGCTCCAAATGACCATTACGGACGTCCTTGCTTTGCGCTTTGTTTTATGGATCATTGATCGACGACTGTCTTCGACAGCTCCTGGTTGAAGTGTTAATATTTCCTCCTGGACCGGACAGTCATCAGTCCAAGGCAACCCCACGTGACTGGTCATTTTCGGGGGACGCTCAACAAGTCGTGTGCCGGGTTCGAATTGCAGGTGTCTCCGGTTCTGGAGTCAGGTTATGGCTAGCGGACGATGGTGCTAGACCACCAATGACCTTGACTGTGCTCCCCGACTTTATAAAGCTTTATACTGTTCCCAAAGAAAGTATTTACCTTCAAATTTTATTTCTTCGGATGCCTGCGTCCCACTTTATACGTTTAACTTTAAACATATCTACATATATATGATAAGATGATACCGACAAAGACAAGGGAGACCGGAATGGTCATTTCTGGCTTATTAGCCGTCATCAGCCAGTTATACCCAACCCCAAGTGTGGATCACCTGAGATTCGAACCCGGGATCTTTGGTCATGGAATTTGACGCTCTATCATTAAGCCACGGGCTCGTTGTCCCGGGTTCGAATCTCAAGTGATCCACACTTGGGGTTGAGTATGAATGGCTGATGACGGCTAATAAGCCAGAAATGGCCATTCCGGTCTCCCTTGTCTTTGTCGGTATCACCTTATCAACATATATCACTAGTCGCTGTGCGACTGCCTGCGAGGGTTTAAGTATGAGCCCCAAGGCACGACAGAACAAGCATGTTCTGTAACCTGATCGGTGAGCGCCCATCTGTCATAATTATACATATACCGTATGTATATGTATACGGTAGATAGGGGCACTCACCAATTGTCTATACGGGACCCACTTGTCACATTGTGCCTTAGGGTTCTCTTTTGAGCCCAACCAGCAGCCGCACAGCGGCGCGTGATATAGACAGAATATCCCTACCATAAAACGACAAAGGAGACTGGAATGGCCATTTCTGTCTCGTCAGCCGTCGTCAGCCGGCCATACCCAATTCCGATGTGTGGCATACCTGAGGCTCGATCCCGCAACCTGTTTGTTAGAAGTGCAGTGTCTCTAACCACTGAGCCACGGACTCGTTGTCTTGTCGGTTGCAATAGGGACGAGTGATTTCCGTAAAAACGATTGGTGAGCGCCTCTCCATCAGATATTTGTGATCGCAACCGACGGGACAAAGAGCCGATGGTTCAGTGGTTAGGGCGCTGGACTGCTAGCCAACAGGTCGCGGGATCGAGCCCCCGTTGTTCAACACTTTGTGGTTATGTACGACTGGCTGACGACGGCCAATAAGCCAGAAATAGCCATTCCAGTCTCCCTTGTCTTTGTCGGCAATGCTATTCTGCATTTATACCTTTGTTACCAAGCCCGAAAAATGGGCTGTTGAGAGTAAGGTGTACAGTTGAAACCCTCTGCTGACGAAGCACAGTCTGATTATTAGCAAGCAGAGGTTCGCAGACAGTGGTACCATCTGAAGGCGTCATCCACCAAGTCATGCCAAGGTGTTCCGCTATTTAACAGTTGATCTCACTACAAACACACACGACAAATCAGTACGGCTCTTACTGACTACTAGGGCTGTCTACTTTCTTTCTATAAAGTTCGTTTTTTATAATAAAAGTAGAGTCCTGAGAAACCCAACGTTCAATTGGATGATAGGGAGGATTTATTTTCCTCCCGTACGGCAAAAATTAGGGGTTTTTGCGATAGTTACCTTGAAGTCTTTCCTATTACAGATACCCGGAATGGTACTCAAGCGTCAAGTCTAGCCCGAGAAAACCATCTGTTGCCTAGCCTACGGAAGTTTTAATCTCCTTTTGCAAAACGATGGATTGCTATGCTGACTGCCAAGGGACGGCTGACTATAAAGGCTCCCCGAGACAGCCTCTGGCCTACGCTTATCATCTGTTCTTTGGAATTTGACTGTGAAAGACCATCTGCGCAGTGCGCTCCGCTGCATACCAAGCCTGTCTCACCAGCGTGACGGACGCTTCCGATAACCACGCCCACTTTCCAGCGACCTTTGATGATATAGAGCCGCAACGCTCCACCCCCCCCCCCCACGCGTGACCGGCGTACACAATAGGGGGCAGTGGAAACAAGTAGATCAGTACGGTGTCCGACAGCATTGTAATGGGCGGACGTTGTTGACGCAGAAGTTTGCAGGGAGTCCGCGACCGCTTGGGGCGGGTGAAACTCCCCAGCCGCCTAAGGGGACAGCTGCGCCAGACACGTTTTTGTTTTCCACGAGTATCTAGAGTGTGTGTGGGGGTGTGCCTGTGTGTGTGTAAACCTAGGTGTGCATAAACAGGGTTGCGGTCATGTGTCCGTGAGAGAGAGAGAGACGGGGAGAGTAGGTGGGGTTTGCGGTTCGAAAACCAGAAAGCTAGACTCCGAAAGTTAGAACACATTTGACTTATGAATCCTTCAAAGCTCTAGTAAACCAATAAGCCAAGATTGGTCCCCCTTCAAAAGACAGGTCTTGAAACTGTTTTCGGGCTCCGTATTTATGTCTGGTGTCTGGGGAACAGAGGTTTCGGTACAACACAGAGGGTGGATCATGCTATTTTTGCATATGCACGGACACTTGAATAGTAAGATGGCGTATGTGTGTGGCTCTGCCTAACGGTCAGACCCCGTAACCGCCTTGACCGGCGGGCTAAAACAGGTGAGGGCATCCGTGTGTGCATCTCCGCACACGGCACTGTGAACTCCGCTGGCTGGATGGATCACCGCCTCGTTATCTCCGAGCCGAGACTCCATCTGCAACGTCGCAGGAAGCCACTAGGTAAGGGAGCCTCTAGGTAAGCGGACATTGCTCTGCCGTCTTTCCTTTGCCTGTTCTTGCTTGCTTGATTTCTGTCTACTTGTTTGTGTTTGTCCTTGTTGTAAACTAATTGCCGTTCCGTTGGATTTCCTCTGTCTGTCTCGGTTTCTGCTTATTCTCGCTTGCCTGCTCTTTGTCTGTTTTTTTTTCTTTCTGTTTGTACTTGCTGTATGCTAACTGCCGTTCTTTTGAATCTGTTTGCTCACCTCCTATTTATTTCAGCAAATAATTCGCTTAGAGAGGGATAGCGAAGCTGTGCTTCCCGTCTCCCTAACATTCCCCCATCCCCTTCCCCCCGTAAAGTCCTACGGCAATGTCGTAGGCAGGCCCACGTCTACCCGGGTCGTTCTCCTAAAACACAAAAGTCGTAGCCCATAGTGGAGTTCCGTCTGGGACAGCTGAGCAGCCCTGTTTAGGTAGGGCATTGTTTACCCCGCGAGGGGGAAGGGGCTAGAAAGGGTGCCCTAAACAAATGCTGGGGACCCACGCCGTCTGCAGGCTAACCGTGGCCTCAGACGCCAAACTCACGGTCGAAACAATCGAATCCGAAACATACCACTCTTTCTCTTCCTCCGCCATCCCGTTTTGCCAGACCGGTAGGGTGAGTCCACTCACCCTGGCAGCCTGGAATGTTCGTTCCCTTTTAGACAATCCGAGGAGCAACCGACTGGAACGGAGGATAGCGTTAGTGGCTCGCGAACTGGCGCGCCACAAGGTGGACGTCAATGCATTCAACGAGGCTCGGTTTCCCGAACAAGGCCAACTGAGGGAGGTGAGTGCCAGCCACATCTTCTTTTGCAGCGGTCGCCCCCCGGCGGAGCGACGGAAGGCGGGTGTCGCATTTGCCATCCGGAACGACATCGTAGGACGACTGCCCTGTCTGCCGCAGTGTATCAGCGATCGCCTGATGAGCCTCCACCCGCCTCTCCGGGGAGGCGAATTCGCCACCATCATCAGCGTCGACGCTCCCCCAGTGACCAGCCCCGAGGCTGCCAGGGACAAATTTTACAAGGACCTGCATGCCCTCCCGGTGACTTTATCCAAGGCGGATAAGTTAATTGTCCTTGGTGACTTCACAGCCCGCGTCGTCATAAACCGTGCAACCTGGAGAGCAGTACTGCGTCCCCACGCTCTCGACAGCGCCAGTGACAATGGCCTGCTCCTTCTACGAACCTTCGTAGAACACCGGCGCATCCTGACCAACGCCTACTTGCGCCTGCCGGTGCGAGAAGTGGCAACCTGGATGCACCCACGGTCGCGACAGTGGCACCTGCTGGACTATGTTCTTGCTCGGAGGCGAGACCAGCGAGACGTGCCGGTGACAAAGGCGACTCTAGGTGCCGACAAGTGGATCGACAATAGTCTCGTCATCTCAAAGTGCGGATAAGCCTACAGCCTCACAGAAGACCTCAAGGAAAGCGACTCCCAGGTAAGCTGAACATTGCCTTGTGATCGCTGCCTGCTGACCATCTCCATTTCAGCAATTAGATAGCTCGAAGACTAGCCAACTTTCCAGACGCCGCTGCCGCTGCTGACGAGAACGCTTCCATGGAGAACCAACGGAGTCAACTTAAGAACACGGCCCAGTCAACCGCCCTGATTGTCCTCGGTCGCGAATGTGCCATAATTGCGCGTCTCTGCAAGTGGAAAGGTAACCGCCAGCTTTGCGACAACTTTCGAGGCCTCTCCTTGCTGAACATCGCCAGGGAGACCATCGCTCACATTCTCCTCAACCGCCTGAACCACCATCTCGAGCAAGGTCTCCTGCCGGAAAGCCAGTGCACCTTCCGCCGTCATTGTGGGAGCACGGACATGATCTTTGGTGCCCACAAACGTCAGGAGAAGTGTCAGGAAATGCGAACGTATCTCTACATTAACTTCGTGAATCGGACGAAGGCCTCTGAAATGGCGAATCGCCAAGGAATGTGGAAATCATGCAGAAATTTGGCTGTCACAAAAGATTCGCTCAGATAATGCGTCAGCTCCACGATGGCATAATGGCGCGAGTCACAGACAATGGAGCTGTCTCAGGGGCATTCGCAGTGACCAGCGGAGTGAAGCAGGGCCGCGTCTTCGTGCCTACGCTCTTCAGTCTCATGTTCTCCGCCCTGCTGATGGACGCCTACCGTGACGAACGCTCTGGGATCCGCATCGCCTACAGGACGGACGACCACCTCCTCAACCACCAACACATACACTTCCAGTCACGTGTTTCCACAACTACCGTCCACGAACTTCGCTTTGTCGAAGAATGCGCCGTCAACGCCACCTCGATGGGGACCTGCAAAGGTGCATGAAGCTCTTCGCTTCCCGCGACAACTTCGGCCTTATCACCAACACAGGGAAAACGGTGGTTTTGCATCAACCGCCAACCGACGTCGCCCACGTCTCACACCAAATCATCGTGAACGGTGCCCAACTGAAAGTGGTGGAGAACTTCACCTGCCTGGGCAGCAGCATCTCCCACGCCACCAAGACAGACGGTGAAATCGTCCGCCAGATCTCCAAAGCCAGCCAAACCTTCGACCGTCTGCAAAGCACAGTGTGAAATCGCCACGGTTTCTACCTCAACACCAAACTGAAGATGTATAGGGTGGTCATTCCGCCGACACTGCTGTATGGAGCGGAGATCCCGGCCGATATACAAGAAGCAGGCACGGAGGCTCAATCATTTCCAAGGATTGATACTGCAGCTGAGATGGCAGGACCGGATCCCAGACTGGCGCGGGCGGGGATCCTCAGTATCTACGTTATGCTGAGACAACTGCAACTTCATTGGAGCGGCCACTTCGTGCGGATGTACGACGAACGGCTACCCAAACGACTTTTCTACGGAGATGTCGCCACGGCTGCACGTCGAAAAACAGGACAAGTCCGTCGCTACAAGGACACTCTGAAGACCTCCCTGAAGAGTATACAGATCAACCCGGCCAACTGGGAAGACCTCGTCCGTGACCGAACAACCGACCTGGAGGAGGACAGTGAAGACAGGCACAGCGATCTATGAAGCCAACCGCATCATCTCTGTCAAAGCCAAACGTGCCCACCTCGTAACGCCATCGCTCAACAAGTCCCGACCTGCTCACGCTGCCAGCGGATGTTCCGGGCACCAGTCGGCGTTGTAGGACATTTTCGGACCGACTGCACCACCCAGACTACGCCAGCTGCTGTCTCCTCGTCCAACTTTGCCTGATCCTCCACACCGACAACTAACATTGACCGCACTTCCGAACCCCCACTGCCATCCTTCATCGCCTCAACATCCGCTTCGGCGGCTCCTGTACCCAACTCTATTGCTCATAGCCCTGACACATCAATGAGCATCAACCTCACCACCGCCAAAACCAGAAATATGGACTCTGTCCAGCCCTGTCCTCATTGCGCTCAGACATTGGCCTCACACATCGTCCTGATCGGTCAGTTGCGAATTCGTCGTACAGAGACTGCCAAACCAGTACATGGAGTACCAACCTACACTCGCCACATCCGACCCCACCGTCCACACGGCCCCGCACATCCACGCACACATGGGCCTCTTCCGTCACATGCAACCGCCGCATCCATAAGAACCTTCGGTAGATAACTGCCGGCTACACCACACAATCACACCTTTCCTCAGCAACACCCTCACCAGCACAACACCACCGCCCCTCACAAAAATCCAATTGCCACCTCCAATGCATGTGTGGTCCGAGTCCGAGACTATCACGATGCGTCAAGTGCCGTGGCTTTCAGGGCTACCGCCTGAAGCCCCAGTTCAGTCCGCACAGTCTTCTTAGTTGTCCTTGTTTGTGTGGAGTGACGGACGTTGTCACGCCTCTTTCTTAAGTGATCTTTGACACTTTCATGCATGCGGTGGGTATATGGGCATGCTGTTTGTGTAGTGTCTCTCAGTCGACGGCCCAGACAAATGCAAAATCAGGTGTTACTCCTCTGAGCGCAAAGGTCTGTAAGCATCTGCGATGCCATGATTCAGCAAACTATGGTCCTCGTAGTCTGTTGCGCGCTGACAGTTCTCTGATACCTGGTCTCTGCCGGTTGATGGGCTGCCCCTTCGTCGGGCACGCTGTTTATGACTTTGGCTACCAAATCATCCTCATTCTTCTGAGCAGTTGGGATGCTGCGCTTGTTGGCTAGGATGTCAGTCATTTGCTGCGTAAACCAGTGGGTGTGGAGTGGAGCGCCAAAATGCGCACTCTACCTTGCCATCCACTTACACTATCCACCGTCTCCGATCTTCTTAAATTTGTCTTGACACCGGGCCCCGGTGGGGGAGGAAGAGGGAATGCGGTAGACGCTACGCAAATCCACTACCACTATAAACTAAATCACACACGATTTATCGTGCCTGCTGCACCTTTCTGTGTAGCAGACGGTGGACATCGTCGGGTGTGACGAACGAACTGTCGCGATCATGTGCCCTCGGGAGAAAGAGAGAGATTGGGACATCGGTGGTGATCGCGGTTTGAAGGCTATAAATCTGGACTGGGAAAGCGAGAACAGGCGTGGTTTATGAGTCCTTCAAATCTCCAGTAAGTCAGATATTCGACCTTGGTCTGCCCGCAAAAGGCACGTCTTGAAAACCGTTTTCGAGTTCTCTATTTACGTCCAGTGGTCGGAGAACAAAGCTTTTGGTACAACACGGAGAGTGGATCATGTCACGTTTGCATGTGTACGAGGACTTAGATAGTAGGATAGCACTGTAAACGACCTTTACCTGTTAGAATAATTTTTCTCTGCAACTCAACAAAACCTGCTACAGAACCAGGGGTTTATTCTGGCTATTGGTCTCTATCTCATTTATAGAGAATAAGCTCAACTCTGTCGTTTAGAGGGGTTAACACAAAATGATGACCTCATCATAGACTAGAGCAGATTGCCGCTTTGCAAACGGAAATCTGAAGTGCCAAGCAGAAAAGGTATTTTCTGATCCAGCGCCCCCGTCCGCCAGCCATAACCTGATTCCACACACGGAGACACCTGAAATCCGAGCCCGGCACATAACCACACGAAAATGATCATTTGCACGGAGTTAACCAGGACTGCTGACTGTTAAGTGCAGGCCAGCATACTAGCGTCCAGGAGCCCATGAAGAGGGACGCAGGCCGACGACTTCTCATTGATCCACAAAGCATAGCATCATAGTCAAATGCGGTTGGAACGGTTATTTGAGGCTTATTCACTAATGTCTGCCATTCACTGGCCAATCACATTCCGTTGTCTGTAGTCCTCATCTAATACTGATTGCTCCTGACTATGCGATGACATGCTATAGCTATCGACTGCAGATATAAAATAGGATTTAATTTTATACATGCGGACCCAAACTTAGGATAACCTGCTCAGCGATACTCTCCCCTAATCCAGGCGAAATGCCTGGTTAAATAACAGCCGTGTTTACACTGCGAAGGACACTTCGCCCGTAATAGTTTATAGCAGCTGACCCTCGATGTGTTGGGCTGGGTTGACTAGGGTGGTACTTGACCGCATGCGAAGATGAATGAGCGTGACTATCCGAGGCTGCTGGGTGTGGACACACACACTTAGGGTTGTAAGCTGCCCGTTGTTTACGCCTGGCTGTTGGAACATAACAACGACATGAAGCACGTGACTGAGTCATCCAGGAACTGGTCCACGAACAGCAGTATCAGGACTCAGGTATGTCCTTCACCATACCCTACCTCAGGTAGCATGAAGGTAGTGCAATATGGATGTGAGAGAGAAGGCTGGGTTACGACATCTGCAGGGGATGGTAGGAGTGGTGGGGCTCGAATGATTTTGATTTCCGTAAAGACAATTTGAAATATGTCTGAGCAGGTATTACTTCAAAGACGGAGTATGTTCTACCGAAATCCGCCGTAGGTTATCCAAATCAAGAGGCCGCATACACCATGCGTGCATGAAAGTAGGACCAACAGAACAGACCTTGATGGACCTATCAGGGGTGTGTCAGGAAGCCTCATTCAAACCATGTATTTTTCCTCTTTTGTCGATCTCCGATGATGCGCTCATGAGTTAGAGCGAAACGTTAGATGGATAGGCCAGCCTCCCCAGAGAGCACAGCACTTTCTCCCTCCATTTCAACACCTGGGGGAGCATGCTCGCCGATATCCATGTACGCATCGGTGGCAAGACTCGTAGGACGTTGTGCTGCATGTCGTCTCAAAGCCCCGTGCGTACTGTGATTCGACGTGGTAAACGCACGACCGACGACGGAGTTTACTTTGTTCCGAAGACCTGAAGATATTAAACTTATTCCTATAACCAAATCTGCTGCCCACTTACGCTTAATTACGTCCATAATCAGTCGACAGCACCACGCCATAAAACCGTCTACAACGATCGCTTCGAAACTGGCCGGATTAATGTGGGTTGCGTAGAATTACACACGGTAACGATCGCAAGAAGGACCTCAAACACACACGACCAGTCAAAGGTGCCTGGCTTACGTGAATGGTGGTTATAGGGATTTTACGGCAGGGCATGCATAGGAGAATGACCCAAATAAGTATAGATAATTGGTAAATTCGTTTTTCGGGCGAAAAAGTTTTAATGCACTGAAATATAGCAACCGAAATTAAGCACGACAATCAGAAGAATTAACAATAATTGTCTGCAACTATCGCTTCTCAATTCTATGAGCTGAGATCATTGTAGATAATCCACCAGACGGTCTACGACAATGGCTTCTCAACTTTCTGAGCTGAGGTCATTGTAGATAATGCACTAGGCAGTCTTCAGCAGACGACCCAACCTTGTTCGATGAAACAGCAAACCGAAATAATCGTGTCGGTCTAAAACCCACTTAAATAAGTATAGTAGGTATTCTTTGTATGTCACAGATGCTTGGGTCCTTCACTCGATCCTTACCAAGAGGACTTCTCGAAAAGTCCAAAGTGGAATCTTAATCAGTGATTGCACATATCATTTAAACATGTGGCAGCTGTACGGCGAACAGCATGTACGGGGAACTGATTGTATACCATCTCCATGGCAACTGTGGCGACTGACATCTTATTCCTGGAACATCATACGGCAGACATGTTCTCGGTTAGTTGTGTACAAATCTATGACAAAAGTAGGTCAGTTTTTGCAGTCTGGTGTCAGTAGAAAACTGCTTTGTGAACCTTTTGATACCCGAATAACACGCCCTTCTATGGGCGTGGAGACGAATAAAGTGCATCTAACGTGTTTGGTAGCGTCCATATACTTGCATTGGCGAGCCTCCCCAGCAGAATATACACAGAGTCACGAGGAAGTTCGGTAAACCGTGCTTTTTTCGCCTATCGGCATGGCAAGACACCTTTGGTTACTTCCAAAACCGCTACCGGTTACCGCGCAGTCTCGATCCGTCCGATTTGCAGGCGTTTTTTACATTGTCGGCCAACTGACCAAATGAACGGTAGCTTGAGACTCAACACTCCACCTAAGTGCAAATCTAAAAGTGCAAGTAGATGAACATAATGCTGCTACTCCTTCGTACTCATAATCAATACGCAGTAAAACTACGAAAAACATCACCAGCGCTACCACACGACTAGTACATCTAACTATTTTAAACAGATAAGCTAACGTCAAAAACTGAGAACTGGAAACTATCACCATAGTCAGTAGTCTTACATTCTCTAGGCGGCCAATGCTCTGACCAGCACTTTTAATAAGTAGTTGTAGGGGCCTAGAAAAATCAGTAAATAAGGCTTAGGATTCAATTTAACGAATCTTAAAATGACGCACTGATCTGTACTCTAAAGCATAGTGAAAGAAAAGTACATACTACTGATCAAATACTCATGAATAAATCCCCAATGAAGCCATGCTGTTGGAAAGGACAAGAGACAATAGAATAGCACTGCTGACACGTTTACTGTCGTAAAGCAGTTAGGTATCTGAGTTCTGGGGTCCTGCTTGCTGAGACATCGGCTGGCAGGTGTGATACTGATTCGTACTCATTGATCTGGCCAGACCGCGGGTATTTTACTTGGTCATGGGACCTCGATCTGCCATCCC